TTACCTGCTTAATATGCATCAATTAAGAAATCTATAAAATAATAGGAATAAAATAATTATTGATTGATTAGTGATTCTTTGGGGGGGAATCCTTGGTGACTATACAGGTACCAGGTCCTATAGTCTTTCAAGACATCATGGAATAAGCTTGGTTTACTTGGCTGTTTCTACTCTCAATATACATTTAATACAAAAGCCTACATGGATACATCACTTGTAATTATTATTTTTGGAGCAGTTAAAGCATATGTAAGTAATATTTGTCCTTCTATCAAAATTTTTGAGGAACAATATCTATCTCTGTATATCAGAATACATTTCCCTGCATTTCAACTTAAAATCACTAACTCTTAAAGCTGGTAAGAATCCCATTTTCAAAGCTAAAAAAATTAAAAAATCCTTCTGTAATAACCTTAACAAAATCTGCAACTAAAACAGTTTTTGGTACTGCTATGTGTTGTTGAGTCATTTACAATTCATAGTGACTGTACGTACAATAGCCCTGAAACTTGCTCTATCCTGTGCCAACTTTACTGTCTCTGACACACCTACCCTCATTATGGCAGTTGCTGAATCAATCCATCTCATCAATGGTCTTCCACTCTTTCTCTATCTCTCCACCCTTCCAAGCATAATGTCCCTCTCCAAAGACTGGTCCCTCCTTGCAACATGCCCAAAATATGTCAGATGAAGCTTCAGAATCCTTGCTTTCAAGGAGCTGCCTGGCTTCACGCTCTCTAGAACCTGTTTGTTCTCCTGATATATAGTATATAGTAATATAATTTATATCAGAAATTTATTGATGATGGAATGATCAAGCTGAATAATATAAAACAAAAACAATAAAATCATATTAAAAATAAGTGAAATACTGCTTTATGATGTCTTTAAATGAAAACGAAGTTGTATCAAAGAAAAAGGGTGGTTAATGATCATTTCAACATTAAAGAGGCAAAAAGTATAGCAACTAAGACACTTAGAAGGGTAAGCAGCTATTTCAATGAATAAATAATTTTATGTACTCATATTATGCATCTTATAACATTTAATGGAAAGGCAGTGTTTATGCAAGTCACTTGACCAGTAAAGTTTATAGACTACTATACGGGAGTGCCATTTTGACTTATTAAAACTCTATTCACAATGTATCTACATTATAGCTAACATTTCAACAAAAATTTTATGCCTATTAAATATATGATTCTGTCCTTAGCTCTGAGATAACTACTTGATGGTGAAAAAAATGCAATCTCTACATGTTGAGTCTATTATTACATTTTAGGAAAGTAATGATTAATGGAAAGGTTGCTAACTGAAAGGCTGGTAGCTTGGATCCACGAGTTTGTCTCCTGGAGAAAGATGGAGAGAATCTTTATCTCAGATTTACAGTCTTAGAAACCCTAAGGAGCAGTTCTACTCTGTCCTATAAGGCTTCTATGAATTATAATCAAGTTGTTTAGAGAGGGTTTTTTTTTTTTTGCTACAAAACACTTAAAATAGATATTTATAAGCATATATATGTATATATACATATATACATACACATTTATAGTTTATAAAAGGTACTTTACATATAGAAAATATGAGTAAAGAGTGCAATGTCTGATTTATAGGCTCAGTGAATAAATGTCCTGATTGGATGGAGGTTATAAAATGATAACTACATATAGTATGTTTAGTCAAATTTGTGAGAATTATCATCAATTATTTGGGAGAAATGGGAATATTATTTCTTTTAATCTGTAACCACATTGAATTAATTTCAAACATTTTGGTTTTTGTTTTTACTTATCCAGAACCCATGACAGGATTTTGATGTTGTCATGTCTAGATATGATTATGCTGTGGCTAATGTGTACAAACAACTTTACAGAGCTTTACCATTGATTACTAGACCCCAGTGTAAATTTATTGTTATTAGCCACATGTGTCCAGCTGAATTTGGATTATATCATTATTTATGCCAAGGAGGAACAAATACTCTTTTGCCTTCCCAAATCATTCAAAGAAGAAATAGAACACTATTGGCCGAAGTTAGGGAGCTCTGGGGGGCCTACTGGGTAAGAGATTGCACTGGCAATCTAAAGACAGTTTGAATCCATTAGATGGGCAGTCAGTCTTGTGCCCTGCAGTTTACAGTCTATGAAAACCCATTAGAGAGTCAGATATGAGTCAGTTCTGACTTGTTGGCACACAATAACAATATTGACTTAAAAATATAAATGACAATGCTTGCCTGTTTTTTTTCCCCTATATCCGATCATAGTCCCTTTTTAGATCATGTGATTTAGATTATATTCCAACACTTAAGAAATCTATTGGCACAGAGTCAGAAAAGTTACTTCTGCTTTACCTTCTAAATTATTTTTCTGAAAGTAATAATCAGACTTAATGCTTTTTATGTTATATAGCCTCAGACTTTACAGTTGAGTAAAATAAGGTGCTTTTTATTATTATTAATATCAAAGTTATTATAAAAACATTCATTTGTTGTATATATTAAAACACTGTCATTTGATATATCATTTCCCCATGCCCTAATAATATAGCAACCTCGAGCTAACTATTCAGATCATTTCTACTGTCATCTCAGTTTCTTTATTTTGTTACCAAACATTTGCTATCTACCTAGATTTATATTTTATATTATGATATTTAAAACATTTTTAAATCTTAATGAAATCATATGATTTTATTCTCCTATGATAACAGGGTCGCTATGAGTCGCAGGCGACTCGACGGCACATAACAACAACAACAACAACATGATAACCTCCAATGTATGCATTTGAAAAGGCTTGTTTGATGCTTTAATATAAGTATTTTGAATCATCAAGTTGAATATTATAGATAAGTAAATTATGTTACATAAGTTATTTAACCTATGTTTCTATCCAAGAATAAATGAAATAAATCAGTCAATCACAATTTCAGTGATTAGGTTATAATCCCCAAATGGTAATGATAATATTTCTGTTGTAATAAAGGTAGATGATTCTACTGAATATTAATATTTGTGAAAAAACAACCACCTATTTGTGTTTTGTTTTCAAATGTTGCTTTTAAACCAAAGGCAGACCAATTGTAAGGGTTCTCTTAGCTTAGCATAATGCAAGGATGAAAGGAGAAAATGGAACAGAAACAGAAACTTGTATGGGCAACAAAAGATCTTTTGTAGCTCCAGTGGTACAGTGTAACCACTACTAAAACTTAAAGTTATTTAAAGGAGGCCCTACTTGACTTTATGAAGTCTTGTATTTCTCCTGTCAACTCCAACTCCAAGTGAGAGACAAACATCATAATTGGTTCATTACGTTCTTCTTTGGTTATAATTACACACACTCACATGGACACAGACACACAGAGATACACACATTTTTATTGAGGAACTTCTGCTTATTTTGTAGGAAACAGGACTGATAACCTTAGACCTTATCAGAATCATCATATTGGGATAAAAATGCTACATACAGAAAAAAGAAAAACCAAGTCCCCCCAAAACCCACCAAAAAGCACCATCATATTACATTACTCATTAAAAATACAAATTCAGCTTGAAAGAAAATGGTAAGGCATTCCTTCTTTGTGGCATGAAACAATAAAAACTTCATCCCTGTGGACATTCCTAACAATATGATGGCAAAATACTCAATGCTCTGTTGGAAAAACAATGTGAAACAATGCTTGGACAATTGTAAATGTGAGGTCCCAATTCAAATGTTTCTTTTAGAACTAAGCAAATTAGCTCAAGAATCACTATTTCTACAATGGCTCTTTTGGCTTAAAGTGGCTTTAAAGAGAGTATCACCAGATGAGAAACTTCTAACACTCATGCAGAGATGACCTGCTTGAAGAACTGGCTGGCTGATTAACTATTAACTGCTCTCAATAGGATTAGATAATTAAGGACATTGATGACCATTAATTAGGAGGAGGGCACATTAATTTGTCACTGGATAGGGCCCTTACAATGATTTATAGGTTGGTGCTACTTGCAAATGTGAAGGAAAAGAGAAAAAGAGAGAAAACCATTAAGTTACCTTATCAAGTGGCCAGCTAAAGAGGGCAGAGGGTCAAAAAAGGGCCAAAGTGGTCACTTAAGGGTGAAGTCCCAAACACCAAAGCAGTGCCAACCCACATTGACCATCATTTGGCGATGAAGTTAAAAATATGCTAATTTATTGGTGGTAATTCTCTCTTTTTATGGTTTCAAGCAGTTAAGACAAGTGGCCTGCTTAAGAGCTTTTCATTTGAAAAGAGATTAAACAAAATGGTTTGTCAAGGCTGCTTGGCTGTTTTATGTCTTCGTTTAAAAAAAGAAAAAAAAAATCACACAGACTATACTGATAACTGTCCCATCATCCAAAAGCCATCTCTCTCTGAGTAGTTATTTCATTAATAAAGATATCAATTCTAATTGCTTAATAGTTCCATGTTCATTTGGTCTTTAGAAAGATTAAGCAGAAATAAATCTTTTGTAGTACTACTTTCTGTCACTACTGCTTACATAAAGGTCACAAAAAAGATTTTAAACTTTGCAGAATATACTTAAAGACAGTACAAATTATATATAAATACATTAATTCAACACAGAAAGCTATAGGTGGTTTCACTAATAGCAAGGAGAAATGCTTTTAGGATATAGATAAGGATCCTCTCAGACACACACAACCCTGAGTAACATCCACATTCTACACACAATCTTACTTATTAAGATTTAATTAAATATGCTTTTGAAAGCACAGAATATCTGCATATCATATTTATTATGTAACTTTGGAATTTAGTAGATTTTAAAACATGATCAATTTTTGTTGTACTTTAATGATAAATTGTTAAAATAAAAAAGCAAATATAAACCTGTGAAAAATATCATTCTGTTACACCAAAAGAATCTAAAAATGATTAGAATGAAACAGGTTTTAAGAATTTCAGTCCCATTTAAAAAAAATGCTATTTATCTTAAGACTGTGAACTAAAACAGAAAAATTGTCCCTTACCTCAATGGTGAATAGTTTCCTTTTTAATTTGAAAGCTAGGTCCTTCACATCCGATACATCACAAGTCAAGTTATTAAGCCGAGGAATCTGCTGTATATGAATCAAACCTTGCGTCAAGAAAACAAAAAGAAAAAAATTAAAAATGCTGTCATCAGATACATAAATTAAAGAGTCTTACAGGAGAAATCTGTAAATTTACACACAAGCATCCTCCCCTTTTAAAACTGAAGCTTACTACCAGGAGCAATGAAGCAAATGGTGTGATTATACTCAAGTAATCAAGCAGAATAAGATAAACAGAAATCCTTGTGCGAGGAAAACTAATTGCACTTTGGTACAGAAGTACAGATGTAAAGAGGGATCTTAATACTTGTCAAAACTACAGCCGGTTTGTGTGTGATTTTCTCTTGTATTTACAGTAAGCAAATATGGCTATCACCTTGCATGCTGCCCACGGCACCACTGAGTGATCTTTATTTTATTAAATGCACCAGTAAGCAGCCAGCAAAACAAGACTTATGGGTTACTGATGATCAGTGTAGCAATAATGAAAAGTATTTCATTTTGTACTTTTATTAATGACTTGAATAAACCATGGAAGAAAATGACATTTCAGAGTACACTTTAGGGCCAAACATTATTCCTATGCCATCCAAGATACTCATATTTGTAGCAAGTAGGACCTTTATGTGGCTGTTGGTTTTGCAACAGTGCTAGGTAAACCATGAGCTTTAGTCTCTTGTCAGTAGAAACACTTGCTAATTTTTCTGACAAGGGGACTGGATGGCTTTTGTGTAGGCTAATGTAGTTTTTGATGAAAATAGAGGGCCATTTGCTACAGATGATGACACGGAAAGTTCTTCAATGCCTCTGACTCAGTCTATATTTTAAAACCACAGTTTCAAGGACAGTGGTCCCTAAACAGGAAAGAAAAAGGAAAATTCCAGATCTGAATAAACTAGATAAATTCTTTTTACAGCATAGCTTCTCTTGTACAAAGGTTTTTTTTAAAAAACCAGTAATGAATAACTTTTTAGTTTTTAGAATAAACTTTCAGGTAAGTAAACTTAGAAATGGTCCCTTTAATACTAATTTATTTAAAGACCTCAGTTAATTTTTGATAAGCTGAAAAATTGCAAATATGCTATCTAAAAAGAGTATTTTAGCTATGAATAAAAAAATGTCATATAGAGCTACATGAAAAAATATTTAGAGAAGACTTAGTAAAAATAAACATAGCATATACTTATCTGCATATTCTTTTTACCCTTACAGTAGGCTTGTTAAGTTAGCTATTAAAATCAAGAAGGCTCACAAAATAAATGAATGATGCCTTAGATCCTTCTAACTAACAGAAACTTTAAGTTTGGTTATCAGAACAATTCATTAACTTGTGGGGAATAATTTATCAATTCAGAGATTTCAGTACAAACAATCACTATAGCCTTTCAATCTTTTATATATTTTAATTAAAAGTCTTTTGATAGAATATTTAATTTTTCCTAAATTCCCAAGCTTATAATATAAATAATATATATCTCTTAGGTGTAATTTAATTTGAATTGCTTTAAAAGAAACTAGATATAATAAATTTTATTCTTAATAGATCTATCATAATAAAAACATATTAAAATATTATATATACTATTAACTTAAGGGTATAACAATTATGCAAATTAATCATAGGACACATTCTTTTGAAGCAGCTTTTGCTCTGAGTTTTTATTCTCTAATCTTTAAAATAATTGATTTTTAGAACTTACTAGTTTTATTATTTTGTAAAAGGTTTTATATTGACTCTCTAAAGTAGTGGGTGGTTGAATTTATCACATAAAGTCTATCTTCTAGAATATAAACCATCACCAATAAAAATTGTCATGGTCTAATATAGTCTTACAGTAGATCTTACACAAACTGTTTGGTTTTTAGGCTAGAGGTTTCAATGGAATAATAGTAATTTCACAGTGGTAATAACAATAATTTCTGTACACTCAGTATTTCATTCCAGATAAGACAGAAATCTATTCTTCATTATTTTCAGTACTCAGTTTATACCTAAGCTATTCATAATACTAATTTTTTATCCTATTTTAATAATTCTATATAAGAATTTTCATTTTTAAAATATCTCAAAATTAACAAAATGATGAAAATATTATTAAAAACTTAAAAATTCAAATAAAAACTCTGATTAAGTGGGTTATAGTTATACTAAGTAGCAGTATTTAAAACTTTTTAATAACTCAAACTAATAATGAACTTGAATTAACAAAGTAACAAAATGTTTCTTCATATGTAGATATTTTGAAACATTATGCATTTTTATTTCTCTAAACAGCTAAGATATACGAAGCTAGTACTATTAGAATGAAAATATTATTTATTTCAAACATGACTAATTAATACTACTGATTTCAAAGCGAAGTAAGGTAATCTTTGAGTGAAGAAAACATAACCTAATTAAGTCATGTAGTAGTATTAGGGCTTGACTCAAGCAGTTGTCATACTTCCTTTTAATATAATTTTATGAGATACTACCTACATCTCAATAGTAGCTAGGAATGGAAGACCTTTTATAAGTATATTGCAAAATAAAACCTCACACTACTTGACAATACACATTCTGATTGGACAGCCCAGCCAGGACATGTTCTTCTTTTTATAAAGAAGAGGCTTACCATGATAATCTTTATATAATGGGTTGGTTTCTTTCTCAGAGCCAGCAAAGGGTTCCAGTCCAACTACTGTATCTGATAAGTTTCTAACACGAGCAATAACAGCTTTATTCTGCAAAACATAGAAAGCAAACATTTATGTTAAATAAAGTAATATCAATACTGTACCACTGTGCTAAACCATGGACAAATTTTAATGGAGATAAACTATTAACATAGAGAAATCATGTATAAGTTAGTGCTCACTGTAGGCCAAAAACAGGATGAAAATGTGACCTTACTTGAAGTTCCAGCCCATGTATGTGTGTTACTCAAATTCAAAGAGCTGAGGAACATACTTTTAATCTGTTAGAAAGCATAAATTGTTTATTCTTTGTCTTGACAAGCAAGGCTACCTGTACCCCCTTTTGTTATTATTCTTCAAATTACTTCACTCATTGTTCATTGGGGAATCAGATACAGTAGATAGTAAAGTCCTGAATATAATGCAAGGGTCCCACTGCTGCCTGTCAGCTGGGACCAGGTCCCAATCACCTAACAGCTGTCCTTTGTTTTATATTAGAAGCACTGACAGGTCTAGCTATGAGGCTGTAGCATGGCTAGCTCTGGCATCTTTTTCCCTTTCTCCAGAACCTGTCATTTGGCTCTGGGTTGAAAACAGAGGGGTAGGAAAAGATGGTGAACACATTAGATCAGGAGCCTACTCTTTCCTTCTCAAGGCAACCTGAAATGTCCAAAATACTGATGAACACATCTTCAGAATATGCAACCACATGTTGCCAAATTATAACAATATGTTAATACACTTCTATGTACAGCATATCTCGCTAAGAAATAGTAAAAGTTATAAAATAGCCAGTATGTTTTTACTATAAAAATATAAGTAATAAATATTCCATAATTTTTAAAAAAGACTTTGGTTGTTTAGTGGAAGTTAGTAGTCACTCTAGCGCCTGATAGGTAAGACCTCTATTATTTTAATATTTACACACACACAGAGGCACACACACATGGATAAGAGAGCCCAGGTAGCTCATTTTAAGGAGTTGTTCTGCCAACCCAAAGCCATGCTTTTCAAATCTACCAGCTGCTCAGCAAGAGAAACATGGGCCGTCTCATCTCTTTCAATTTACTGCCTCTGAAAACCTGCTGAAGAATCAGTTTTAAGTCAATTTTGTCTCAATGGTACATGACAACAAAAGTATTACACACACACACACACACACACATTTATATACAGATGGAGAGTGCTGGTGGCCTCATAGATAAGATGTGCTGCCAACTCAAAGGCATGCAGTTTGTATCTACCAGCTGCTCCATGGAAGAAAGATGAGCAGTCACCTTCTGTGCAACTTACAGCCTCTAAAAACCACTGGAGGGTCAGCTATGAGTCTGTTCTAACTGGAGGGCAATACGTGAGTCATAGATATATTAAGTTAAGTAATATATTGTAGGTATCTTATTAAGTGCTGTCTAGTCAGCTCCAACTCACAGCCACCCCAGGCACGAAGAAGGAAACTCTGCCTGTTCTGTAGGCTCCACTGTCCTTGTGCCCGCTCGCTGGTTTAGCCACAGTATCAATCCATCTCTTTGAAGGCCTTTCTCTTGTTGCTGGTCTTCTGCTTTACAAAGCATGATAAATAAATAGATGTATAGATAACTATTCCATTATTTATGTTGTATTTATATATGTTATAACTATTGTGTCTTGGTGGCACAGTGAGTAGGGACTTGATTGTTAAATTATTAGTTGGTAGTTCAAATTCACTAGTGATCCATGGCTGCCATCAAGATTTACTGCCATGGAAGCCCCAGGGAGATGTACTCTGCCCTAAAAGATCACCATGAGTTAGAATCAACTAGCTGGCAATGGATTATGGGATAGAAACATATATATATATGTATATATAGCCATATACATATGCACATTATACACTGTCATATATATATATATATATATATATATATATATGTAACACTATAAACTGTCATACAAACTTTGCAACTGAAACATTTTTGAAGATTTTTTCCTCAGAAGATCTTGATTAATTGAAAAAGAATTATTTTTAAAATACATTTTTGAAAATGTCATTTTTGTACTTTGTAACATCCACACATTTTGAACTATATTTTTTAAACATAGGACATGTAAAATAGAAAATAATAAAAGAGTCTGATGTTATTCCCTGTCAAAAGAAAAGTCCAAACATAAAAAAAGATATTTAGTTTTTGAAAATGACTTTCTGATTGAATTCTGAGTTTTTGTTGGACAGTAGCTCTTAAATCATCTTTTAAGGAATGAATAAAGGTGAAAGATAAGAGGACTGGTCAACGTTAACTTGCTTAGTATGAAATACAGTCTGTGTCACCAAACACTGTGCTGAATGACTGCCTAATTTACACTTGGCTATCACTTGAAACTTCTCCAGAAGCAAAAGTGTGTGTAACATAAAAAAAGGTTTCAGGTTTTAAATAGTGTTCTTTAAAAAGTGGTGAAATGAATTAGCCTTAATTGTTTATAATACTTCAAATCACGTGGGCACCAAGTATAGAAAAACAAACATAATTTGAATATGCCTCTGTTTTAAAAGGCAATTTTTCATTCAATGGTGAGAAAATAATCCAGATTGATTCCTTACTTTCAATTCTGTGCCACAGGGGATGGTCCTACTCCAGAAATAACAGGGGCTTCAGAGGCCATAAACATGTTCCTCTCAATATTTCTTTAGCCAAAGACCATTATATCAAACTCATCCAGGTTGGGTTTCAGCCAGTTATTCTTCACCCAAACAAAAATGTCTGCCAGACATTCCAACAGCTGGGAGACAGTTCACAATGAGTCAACTTGAAAATGATTCATTGTGCTGAGTAGGGAACAATGTTAGGGTGGGGGTGGGGTGTGGCTGGGTTGGTAGTAGAGAGTGAGAACAAGTGGGAGATGAGAATAACCATGTAGTTCCCCATTAAGAAGAATCTTGGATAACAACCAGCAGACTCTTATAATTTCATTTTTATGATAAACTCAACTGGGAAGAGTTATCCTGTCATGGACCCTCAGATGAACAAGCACTTTTAAAGGCCACTGACAATATTTCTTAATCAAAAAAGGTCAGATTTCTTTTTATCTATAAGTAGAATATTAAGTCTCTGTGCCTGGGTATCTGAATCTAAAATAACAAAAGTTAATTTCTGTTAATATTATTTAGGCTAAACTGTGATACAACTGAGATTTTTCTCAATTACCAGAGTACAACATTATAAGGATTAAAGACAGGATTAGCCTTCCATTCTAGTAGCACGTAAGCAGAGTACATTTTATTTACATGATCAACATTTGCTTGTTTAAAGGAAGAATTTTTTCTTCCTTAATCTTAAAATTCACTAACCATTCAACAACCTATACCATTCAGTATCACTACAGATCTTTTGAAAAAGTAGTTTGTGGGAGAGAAAATAAAAAGTCAACTGTTTTCTTTGAAGAGGAAAACTAACGATTGAAGGTATATACAGCCTGGGTTTCAAAATTTCCTAGAAACTCATTAAAATATCCCATTTATTTCTGAGTTCCATAGGTTTTCAGCATATTTAATAAATGTTACATTTTATTTTAAGTCTATATGAAGCACTACCATAACAATATGCCTTAATTATATTATTACTATAAAATATGATATATTTGATAATTACTATTTTCTTCACAGTAATTTTGGTAAACAATTTTGGTAAACTTCTAATTGTGATGAGGTAAAGTATGGATACTATGTAGATATCTGAAGAATGTCTATGGGTAAAAAGCAATGAAGATTATGTTAAAAAATTATCTATGCTTTTGATTAAGGTAACCTTTACTTTTATTATAAATACACATAACCTTCCAATTCCTTGCAAGAATGTAACATTTTGATATGTAAATATCTATTTTCAAAAAATTTAAAGTATTACAGAGTCACTTCTGCAAAGTTTCATAAGAATTGTATCAATCTAATCTTAAAATCACTCTTGTCAAGAGGTGTTTTAAGTTATTATTATTATCATCAATGTTCTTTAACATAAAACTGAAAATGGTCATTAAGATAAAAGTTTGAGATAAAATTTACTTAAAAAAATTCTTAAATGGACAAAATAAAAACGTATCTAACCAACCCCACAATATTTAAAAGAATAACCACAATCAACTTCAGAAAGAATATCTATGCACAAAAAATCTGAAAATGTTCAGGAAGCCCTAGTGTAAGGATGTAAGTAGAGTTTTTGAAAATGGAACTTCCTTTTCATTCCAAGAGTTTTTTCTATATTATTTTCCAAAATTCAAAATCTCTCTGGTTTTAAGTATATATAGTTAAAAATGGAGCAGTAAGGATATTCATGCATCAAATATGTTGACATGAAACTGTAATATTATTTCTGTATTATTTTTTAATACATAACATTACAGTTATAAGAAACACTGAGTAAAGACATTTCAAGAGTCACCAACTATGAGTAATTTAAGGGTTTTAGAGAAGGCATGGCATAATGACAGTACTCAAGTATGCACAATGATACTGCCACTCTTCTTTGCCCATCTGGATGTGAAAATCTAAAATGGCTCAAAAATCCTTCTTATTCTAGACAAATCTCCCTTAACTCCTGGGTGAAAGTTGTCAGCTCTGGATAGTAGCCAAGACATGACTAGGAGGGAAGCCAGAAGAGAAGAGAGCCAGTATCCAGGAGTTTTAAGAGTTTGCTGGCAGTCTCAAACAGTATTGTTTTAAGTAACATAAAGGGATCTCAAAATTTTCTGTTACAGCATAATTTCTTAATTAATTATTTAAATTTAAATTACGCCAAATAAACAGGACAAATATAATTGTCTTTTACCTTCTACTCCAATTTTAAACTTGAGTTGCTCTGAATGCCTCTTGTTTGGTTTCATAGAATGTATCCTATTTGCTTTTATAGAATGGTAACATTATTTTCATTGTTGTAACTGTTAGATGTCTGAAAGTCAAAGAACTCATAATCATCCTACTTAAAATTCATTAAATCAATTTTCAAAAAAGAAATATTAAATTCAATGCTCCTTTTCAATTCAAAGGCAAAAAATTCCAAACCATGTATTTAAGTGATCAA